CTTAGCCCCTGTTTGATCAACATTGAAATTTTCATTCTCATTCTTCTACTCATTTTCAACCACACATTCTTCAATAAAATAATATTTTCCATCACATCAATAACTTTTCATTCTTTTTCAACCACACATTCTCCATCAATCTCCCATTCTAAAATACATTCTTCCAAAATAATGTGGTTCAAACACACCCTTAGTATATAAGGCAACAAAAATACTGGGTTCAAGTCATGTCACCACTCATTTACAAAAGTTGTGCGCGCATGAGGCTTTTGATGAAAAATTATTGAAGACAGGATTTAAATAAAAAAAATTGTCTCATCTCTAATTGCTTAAGCTTTTAATGAGCTCGTTGAACAATAAGAATTAATATCCCCACTTACAGAGTCAGATATTTCGAATTCAAGATATTTTCTATTCCTGCTTCCTATTTGCTCTAAGCCTAATCATGCTCCCTCTTCTTTTGTTCTCTTCTGTAGGTGCTGGGAATTCAAGTACCAAAATAATTATACCTAGTCTGACTGTAACATGTCAAAAAGCGGTAAGTGTAGGCATCTTTTCCTCGATGACCTATGATTTGTCTGCTAGTTAGATTAATTTAATATAGAATCTCAGGATGGTGAAGAAAGTAATATGGCAGTGGCTGATGTTGCTAAGACAAGTGTAAAGGAACTCATGGAAGAAGAGATGTTCACTGAGCAAGGCTTGAAGAACGAGGCAATTGAGTCTGAAATATGTTTGAGGCAAATTGATTCAGAACATGGACACCCTGTAAAAAAGAATCACAAGCGAATAGGCAGAACTCACAAGAAATCTAGTGATATGGATGTCCCCAAGTCGGATGCTGCGGAAACTTTGGGGTACGACAAAGTTCCCGAACAAAAACCTTCAGATACTCTTGATTGGGAAATAATGGAAGAAATATCCCAAATTTATCAGAAATTTTCAAGCTTCATGAAGCGGGATTCTCGCGATGATCTTGACATGCCATCTGGTCGGAATTTCTCACGTGAAGAAAAATTGGTTGAGGCAATAAAGGTATTTAGTGATCAAAGGTTAAATAGTAAGCATTTGGGTGAAGAGGTGAAAACCCATTGTTCGAAAGAGTTCATGGATGCTTTGCAAACTTTAAGTTCGAATGAGGACTTGTTCTTAAAACTACTACAAGATCCTAACTCTGTACTGATGAAGCAAATTCAAAACTTGGATGATACTCGATTAGAGAAAGACCAGAAACCCGGTTCTTTGATCGGACCTGGTCTATCTAAGGAGAAGCTAAACAACTCGAAACCTGATGATCTTTTAGATCGTAAACACCGTAAATTCTTCCACAGAAAGAGCAAATCTCTTGAAAGCTTCCCCACAGGAAACAAAAATTGCCAATCTTCCAGTAAAATTGTCGTCTTGAAGCCTGGATCAGCAGGGTCAGATAGCCCCCTTGCTGATATCAGCATAGGCAGTACTTCTTTGCTGTCGCCTTATGCCGTTAAAAATAAGGTACAGAATGAGAAGAATACATCCCAGTTCTCTTTTACCGAAATTAAAAGAAAGCTGAGGCATGCAATGGGAAAAGAGAAGCCAGGGATTGGTCCTGATAGATTGGTCCTTAAATTTCCTTCTAAACACCAAAATGGGAACGATAATGAAAAAGGTGCTAGTGGAGAAATTGTTGGCTGGAGTTCTCCAAACAGGGACCATTTCTATACTGAAAGATTTGCCAAATCCCCAACTGGCTTTAAGAGCAGTGAACAATTGGGAAAATCAAAAGTTAATGGTGCAGAAATGGCAAACGAAACCTTTAACTATCCGAGGAAAGGGGCGTCTAATATCTATATCGAGGCTAAGAAACATCTTTCTGAGATGTTGAACAATGGGGATGAAAATGCAGAGTCAGGGAGCCGTCGTTTACCAAAGTCCCTGGGCAGGATCCTGTCTTTTGCTGAGTACAGTGATTCTCCAAGCTGCAGTCCTAGAAAATATGGTGATGATATATTCATAACTGCCCAGATGAGGTTATCTCCTCGAGGCATGGCTAACAACATGAACGGGCTTGTGCAAGAAAACCATGAAAATCATCCAAGCTCGTCTTGGCCAAACTTAGAGAGTCATCTTCCCATAGCTGGTGACAATGCCAATGAGAAATTACAATCTCATAATAAAGAAATCAATATTCCAAGCAAAGATGATCGTGGTTATTCTGTAGAAACTCGATCTTTTACCCATGATGTTACAATTCCTGAAGGTATTCTGTTTATATGTTCTTTCTAAATAATTCAGAAGGCATCTTACTTTAAATTCTGATGACTGTAAGATTATACCATGGTAACAGCTCCGAATTCGTCTTCAATAGTTGTGGAGATTGAAGAAACAACTGGATCAAGTACCGAGGAAGGGGGAAAACATATTACTATTTCTAGAGATTTGGCTAGCGATCTAATAACTAGAGATGTGCAGGATAGTGATATTGAAGAAATGACTGTTGAAGAAAGTCCTTCCCAGTGCTTTAAAACGGTAAACTACTGATTCTATGAATTGAGAATCTTAGGCTAATAATATCAAGAAACACAAGGCACTCCATCTATGCTGGGTGGAATACCACAGCTTGTTTTTCTTTAGTTTTTTCCCTGAAGCATTTCCTTTGCACATTTCATATTTGTTATTCTTTTCCAGGCTCCATTTGGAGATGATCAAACATTGTCTCCATCAGTGTCTCCACCGCACTCTCCAGTAAGCAGGAAAGTTGAAGATCATGATTGTGAAATAGATAAAATGGAACGGCCCAGTCCCATATCTGTTCTTGAGCCATTATTCACAGAAGACGTTATCAGCCCTCCAAGTACCACATCCCAGTCAGGTTAAATTATTAATATAGAATTCAATAGCCTTACATGGAACAACTTTTCTTTGTGCTTTATATTGTGCTGAAACGTGTCTGTTTGTGGTATTTAGCCAATGAAGAAATTCAACCTCGACAAATACATTTTGAAGAACAATCTTCTGCTACTGACCTGGGAATTTGTACAAGAATTTCTATTGAGGGTGAGGAAACTGCATTTGAATATGTGGAAGCAGTCTTGTTGGGTTCAGGTTTGAACTGGGACGATTTTCTTTTGAGGTGGCTTTCTTCGAATGAAATTCTCGACCCATCACTTTTTGATGAAGTCGAGTTGTTTTCTAATCGATCTCATCTGGATCAGAAACTCCTCTACGATTGTACTAATCAAGTTCTAAAGGATATCTGTGAGACTTATTTTGGATGCTTCACTGGGATGTTATTTGTTAAAGAGAACACTCGCCCAGTCCCAACGGGTATGAATCTTATCGATGAGGTATGGGAAAAGGTCGAATTACATCTCTTTCAGCATCCATCGTCAGAGTCTCTGGATCAGTTTATCAAGAGGGACATGGCAAAACATGAAAAATGGATGTACCTCGGATCAAATATTGTGCATATTGGTACTGAATTAGGGGAGAGAATTTTCAGTGAATTGATCGAGGACACTGTGTTGAGTTTTGCAACTGATACTTCAGAATATGAGTTCACTGTGCTTCTAGTTGAATCTGAGGCAATTGAAGATATTGACTTGTAAACTCGACCATCTATGTCTCACGAAAGTTCTATAATTCTCATATGTTTTTCACATATGACATGTTTGGTAAGGTGGATTAATAGTATTGAAAGAAATTAAAATCTTGTTTGTTGTCCTGTCAATGCAATCTAATATTGCATGCCAAACATGTCCTTAGAGCTTTGGTTAAAGAATCAGATGATATAATTTGGCATTCTCCAATAAAGTCTCGTGGTTATAGTTAGGATTTCTGAGTACAGATGACTGTAGTGTGTGAAGCTTTGATAGCAGAAGTTACAAAATAAAGAATCATTGCTAAAACGTAGCCATTTGCAATGTGCTCTTCACGAGAAGATGGATTATCAGTTTCTGCATCACTGTATCTAACCAGAGAAAGGGAGAGATGAGCTTCTCAGTGTAGAATTTTCAGGGTTTGGTGTGTTTAATGTGTGTTTTGTGTTCATATGTTTGGTGAATTTCTTTCGTTTTCAAATCTTGTTTTATCATAGGTTTGGTTTGTAATTACAAAAGTCAAGAAATTTCACTAGGTATGACTTGTAACTGACATTATACATAAGAATGCAGAATAAAATCCTTTCACGGGTGTTGTGTATAAAGATTGTCTGTCATATACCCCATCTTATACTCTATTTTTCTCAAAACTTTTGTCTGTATTATGATTTCTATACATCGCGTTTTTCTACAGTCGAGCCTATCAAATATTCCCTAATAGCCTAGATATACATAAGCTAGTTCTATTGCATGAGGGAAACAAAACGAATGAAGAAAATTTTTGCTTCATAATCTCGTAATTGTATTACAACATTTGTCCTGTATTCAAAATAAGGCATAGATTCTGGACTTCTACAATCATAAAATTTCAGCCAAAACCATCTACAATCAAGAGTAATAAAAATTGCAAAAGTTATTAGTTGTCAAATAGCTTAATGGACTGTGTGATATAAATTTATAGCACTCTCCATAGCCATTCTTGGCACTTACCTTAAACTGCTAGATCACTCGACTGCTCTAAGTAGACCATAGAGAAACAACATTTTAACCACAGGTAATTTTTTGAGTGCACAAGAAATTCCGCAAGGAAATTTTTTAAACCCCATTAGAATTTCCTAGTTCAGTAGGCCTAACTATTTATGCTTCTTTTTCTGCTGTAGAGATGCCGTTATATTTAGTGGTCTCTTCTTGGCAAAAGCTTTTGTTTTACTTTCCAACTCGTCTTCACTATCTTCATCAACATTTCCATCTTTTGAAGATGGCGCAAATTCTTCAGCTCTTTTCACGGCTTTCCTTTTCTCAGCATCCAACTTGGCAAGCAATTTTCTTTCGACTGGATCGCTTGAATTTGCAACTCTGGCCCCCCGTGGAACTGTTGCACCAATTCCAAGCCTACAAAAGTCTCTAAGAAAATAAATATATGCTTATAATTATACAGTGGAAACTCAATGTTGCAAATGTACTGACCTAGCAGGTCGACCCTCTAATTCCATTGCGGTTGATTTTCCATCCACCGAGGATTTACTCATGCTATTAACCCATTGTTCAGCCTGTGCCAAGGAGTATACATGAAACAGCCTTCTAATATTTACTACTCGGATCATACAAAAGAAAATTGTGATGCCAAGCACATTTCCCATCTTTGGATCACAATATTAAGATAGAAAAGTAAAAGAAAAACAAGAGGAAAAAGAGGTTATAATAATGAGCTATCTTCATGAAAAATCAATTTATTTTAAGAACAAGAAGGAATCAGCATGATAATACAAATCTAAATATGAGTAAACAAATTACAAAAAATTAAGAGCTAGCTACCAGTTTGAATGCTTTGCCCAACTTCACTAATTGGGGTTGTGAATTTTTCGTTGAAGCCTCTTCTGTACTCATTGCTATTTCTTCACCACCTGATTAGCAAAGAAAGCTGTATTGGAAATTATCATACAAAAGCTTAAAATCAATCACTGTGCTTGAACATAAAATAAGAACGCTGCTGCACCTTAGTTTGGTTATAGCATGCCAAGGGTAAAATATGATTCTTTATATTTCAGAACATGCTTCAGCTGTATTTACAGAACAGAGGGCAGTCACATTAGTCATAAAAAGAATATTACAAACATCAACAAATCAAAGAAGCATAAAAAGAAAAGTGAAACCATACACAAAGTAGCAAAACTATTATAAACACGCATTCTTTCTACAAATATCATAGCTATTCTAACAGGCCAAAAAAAAAAATCAAAGTGAGAAATTGATCAATATTGCAAGAAAGACAAAAGGAGAGGGGGAACTAAAAACACAACGCATTGATAAAATTTAACACAAATCCAATTGAGAAAAGCTAGGACTTCCAGGGAAAGAGCTAGAGGTAGATTTTAAGGTGGGATAAAATTTAGAAAAAGTGAATGAAATGATGTAATCAAGCACATGTACATGTCCTAAATTAGTGGAAAATGACTTAGGACATGTTTGGGCCAGATTAAAATCTGATTTTAATTTAAGTCAAAGTCGAACAATCAATATTAACTACATCTTTCATGGGTCCCACATCTTTTCAACCACGCATTTCAAAAACTTCTATCACAATCCGCTAAAAATCTAATTTTAATTCCCACCAAACACCCTCTTAAACTTAGGTAATTAGTTAATTATAAGGGTACTTTTTAATGAGGGAAAAACATTCATAACGGACAAAAACATTACACAATTCAACCTAGGTTTACAAATTTGCAATTATAACTGATTTAAACAGCACTTGATCATTTTGAGCTTAAATAGCTCAAAATTGTAATTCATCTCCTCAGGAATTCTTGCTAATCTCTTTGCCATGGTCAATTAAACTCCAGAACTTATTTTACCTCTCCTCAAAACATAAGTTGCTGTCATTTTTCTCAAAATGTACAAGGCAAGAATCTTGCAGTATTTTCTTAATCATCCCACATACCTACCTACCTTCCTACCTCAACTCATAACTTTTTTATTCCGTTCTCCTTAATTATAAACTTCAAACCCAGATCAGAAGCTTATTCAATAATCAATATAATTCAACAACTCTGCACTTTTAACTAAAATTTCAGTCAATAAAAAATCTTGGAACTTATTCCAAGAAATTTGACTACCTGAAACGGAACAGGAATGGGAATTGGAACTAACTGAAACTTCTGTTATGATAGCACTGGGTTCTGTCATAAACACTGAAATCAAGTCTTATCATCTATTGGTCCAATATGTGGATATTAGTCATTCAAAAAAAAAAGATGGTCAATTTTGCAAATAGTAAATATATCAAACAGGTTATTTGCAATACCTACTCTTTTTAATTATCACAATATATACCTCCAAATATACATTATACATCACGTGTAAGGACACATGCTGTAACGCCCCGAAATCTTTTTAACCTTTTTATAGACTTCGAGTGTTACCAAAAAAAAAATTTCTTTTTCTTATTGGAGCAGAAACACACTTTTATTCAAAATTGACGACTGACCGACAAACCGCTCTTATTAGAACAACAAGTTACGTACTACAATTTCAAATCATAACTTTGAAATTTA